CATCAGCATCATCATCATCAACATCGGCATCATCATCATCATCGTGAGCGTCATCGTCATCGTCATCATCATCCTGATCGCCATTATATCATCGTCATCAGCGTCAAGATCATCATCGTCATCATCATCGTCATCACCGTCGTCATCATCATCATGACCATTACCGTCCTCCTCATCATCATCAGTATCAGCATCATCGTTACCATCATTATCATCATCCTCGAACCTCATCCTCATCCTCATCCTCATCATCATCATTGCCATTATGATCATCACCACCATCATCGTCGTTGTCGCCGTCGTCCTCGTCGTCGCCGTCGTCGTCATCATCATGATCATCATGATCAACATCATCACCATCATCGTCGTCGTCATCATCATCACCTTCACCATCATGATCATGAAAATCATCATCAGCATCAAAAAAATAATCATCATCATCGTCATCATCGTCATTGTCATCCTCATCGTCATCATCATCACTATCACCGTCGTCATCAAAATCATCATCATCACCACCGCCCCCTCTCATCATCATCATCATCATCATCATCATCATCATCATCATCAGCATTGTCATCATCCTCATCCTCATCCTCACCCTCATCCTTATCATCATCGACATCCTCGTCATCATCACCATCATCATCACCAGCACCAGCATCACCACGTTCACAATCATCATCATCAGCATCAGCATCATCATAGCATCATCACCATCATCATCATCACCATCGTCCTCATCATCATCATCCTCAGCATCATCAGCATGGTCATCATCATGATCATCATCATCATCATCATCATCATCATCGTCATCACCATCGTCATCATCACCATCGTCATCATCATCGCCATCGTCATCATCACCATCATCCTCATCATCATCATCATCATCATCCTCATCATCACCATCCCCATCCTCATCCTCATCCTCATCAACATCCTCATCCTCCTCATTCTCATCCTCATTATCACCATCATCATCACCATCATCATCGTGGTCGTCGTCGTCATCATCATCATCATCAATATCATCATCATCATCAGCATCATCATCACGATCGTCGTCATCATCATCCTTACAATCATCAGCCTCACCATCAACATCCTCATCCTCATCACCATCAACATCAGCATCATCAGAATCCTCATGCTCACCGTCATCCTCATCCTCACCATCATCCTCATCGTCATCATCATCCTCATCATCATCATCACCACCATCATGCTCATCATCATCACTATCACCATCACCATCATCCTCATCATCATATGGATCCTCATTATCATCATCATCACCATCATCATCATCATCACCACCATCACCACCACCACCACCATCATCATCATCATCATCACCGTCAGCACCATCAGCACCACCACCACCATCATCATCACTATCATCATATCGTCACCATCATCATCGTCATCACTTCCATCGTCATTATCCTTAGCATCACCATCATCATTATCATCATCATCATTATCATCATTATCATCATCCTCATCAGCATCATCAGCATCATCATCAGCAGCATCATCAGCATGATCCTCATCATCATCCTCACCCTCAGCCTCATCATCAGCACCATCAGCATAATCATCACCATCACCATCACCATCACCATCCTCACCCTCATCATCATCACCACCACCACCATCATCATCATCATAATTATTATTAGTATTCTTATTATCATTCACTATCACCCTCACCATCACCATCATCATCATCACCATCATCATCATCATCACGACCACCATCACCACCACCACCATCATCACCATCATCATCATCATCACCATCAGCACCACCACCACCATCATCATCACTATCATCATATCATCATCACAATCATTGTCATCATCATCATCATCTCCATCGTCGTCATCCTTAGCATCACCATTGTCATTATCATCATCCTTATCCTCAGCCTCATCAGCATCATCATCAGCAGCATCATCAGCATGATCCTCATCATCATCCTCATCCTCATCCTCAGCCTCATCATCATCATCATCATCATCATCATCATCATCCTCAGCATCCTCAGCATCACCATCACCATCACCATCACCATCATCCTCACCACCATCATCATCACCGCCATCACCACCACCATCATCATCATCACCACCACCACCATCATCATCATCATCATCATCACCACCATCTTAGCAGTCAGATTCATCATCATCGGCAGCGCTGACGCCGCACCGTCGCCATCGGCACCGGCGCCATCCTCGTCGCCCTTCCTCGGCCCGTCCGCACTGGAGGCCTCCGGGGGCCTCCCGAGGCCCGAGCGGCACACGTGTCCAAGAAGCAGCACTCCGATCCGCCTCGGCTGCTCGTGCGACCATGCCGGAGGCGCCGCGGGGCGCGCCAGGGACGGCGCTCGAGGCATCGCCAGGGACGGCGTTCGAGGCACCGCCAGGGACGGCGCCAGGGACGGCACCGCGGGGCGCGCCGCGGGGCGCGCCAGGGACGTCGCCAGGGACGGCGCCGGAAAACACCCCAGCAAGTGCCCGGCAAGGTCTTGGCAAGGTCCTTACAAGGTCGGGCAAGAGATGCCGACACTCCTGGGCGCGGCCTCGGGGGCCCCCCGAACGCCCTAATCAGGCGCCAAAAGGGTGGCACGCCTCACGACCTCAGGCCAAGAGCGTTCCAAGATGGCCCACGTTGGTCCCAAGACGGCCCCCAAAGCGCCCAAGACGCTCCAGGAGTTCCAAAAAGACTTCGAGAGGCCCGGAAGACGCAAAAATCATTGACTTCGCTCGGGTTTTCGGATGACTTTGGCGGTACCACCCTTTCGAGCTGCCGACCGCCTTGGATGGCCCAATAAGCCCCAAGATAGCTCCAAGACGGCCCAAAAAGCGTCCAAGGTGGCACCCAAATGGCCCAAGATGGCCCTAAGACGGTCCAAGAGGCTTACAAGATGGCCCCAAGAGGGGGCCCAGCTAGAGGGGCAACCCGAACAGACATTTCGAGCTTTCGGCCCCAAGAGGCGCCCAGAAGCCCCCAGAGGCCCCCAAGAGCCCCCAAGAGGCCACAAGAGGCCGCCAAGAGGCCTCCAGAGAGGCTCCCAAGACTCGCAACAGGCTCCCAGGAAGCCCCTAGAGGCCCCAAAGAAGCCCCCAAGAGGCTCCCCAGAGGCCTCGAACTGCTACCCAGAGGCTCCCTTCGAAAAGACCCCAAGAAGCATCCATGAGGAATTTGACCCACAGCCCAGGTGCGTCCCGAAACTCTGCTGGAGCTCTCTTGAGCCATCTTGGCGCCCTCTGGGGCAGTCCGTAGGCTCCCTTCGACAGGGTGCGAGCCACATCTCCGAAGATCTCCTCGAAGACCGTCCTGCCTGCCCTACAGTTCCCCCTGGGCACGAGCACACCACCACACAGCCACAGTGATGCGCAGTGTGTCGGCGGAATGAGCGAAGCGATTGAATAATAATGCTTGCTGCATGTTTGCAGCTGGGCAAGGAAACAAATGCAACATCCAAGCCCCGGGGGGACGACGACGGCACCGGTGGCGGCGACGAGGGCGGCCACGACAACAGACGACGGCGGCGGCGGCCGAGGTCTGAACCACGAGGGGGGGCGAACCGCCCTGGGGCCGAGGGCCGGGCTGCTGGCCGGACTCCCACTGCCAGGTGGGGAACTTGAACGTGAGCTGGGACGTTGTCTCATCCTCCTCCTCCTCCTCCTCCTCCTCCTCCTCCTTCCCCTTCTCTTCCCTCTGCTCCACCTCCTCCTCCTCCTCCTCCTCTTCCTCCTCCTAATCCCTCCTCTTCCTCCTCCTCTTCTTCCTCCGCCTCCTCCTCCTCCTCCTTCTTCTCTTCGTCGTCGTCGTCGTCGTCCTCTTTTTCCTCCTGCTCCCGCTGCTGCTCCTCCTCCTCCTCCTCCTCCTCCTCCTCCTCCTGGTCCTGCTTCCCCTCCTCCTCCTCCTCCTCCTCCTCCTCCTCGTTTTCGTCGTCCTCCTCGGCCTCCTCGTCCTCCTCCTCCTCCTCCTCCTCCTCCTCCTCCTCCTCCTCCTCCTCTTCCTCCTCCTCCTCCTCGGGGAGAAGAGGTAGAGTAGAGGCGGACGAAGAGGAGGAGGAGGAGGAGGAGGAGGAGGAGGAGGAGCCGAGGAGCCGAGGAGGAGCCGAGGCGATTTCTCCGCCCTGCCGCCTGCTCCTCATTTTCAGACGTACCCTCGCGTCGTGACAGCATCGCGACGAGCGGATTCTTACTAACTATTTTCGGGGCGTTTGCCAGGCCCCAGGGCCTTCAAGAAACGACACAGGGTGAAAAGCCAGTTCCAGGGAAGGGGTCGAGATCCCCAGAGGTCGAGTTTCTGGAAAAACATGCTGTTGGGGGCCTGGGTTGCTAGGTTACCAACCTTCGCGCATCGTGCCCCGCGATGCGCGGCGCGCGGTCTCATCTTCTCGCCCTCTCGCCCTCGCGCCGCCCCTCCAGTGAAGGGCAACACCTCTGATATGGACCGCAACGCTCTGGGCGCGAACACCTCCGCGCCCCGCGGGTGACCTAGCTGCTGCCTCCTCCCCCTTGTACCCCTTACCCCCATCCTGATTGCCGCTCGCCCTCCTCCTCCTCCTCCTCCTCCTCCTCCTCCTCTCCTCCTCCTCCTCCTCCACCTCCTCCTCCGCACCCTCCTCTCCCTGCTCCTCCCCCTGCTCAGTCTTCTCCGTCTCCTCCGTCTCGTCTCCTCCTCCTCCTCCTCTTCCTCCGCCTCCTCCTCGCCTCCGCCTCCTCCTCCTCCTCCTCCTCCTCCTCCTCCTCCTCCTCCTCCTCCTCCCCTCCCCAACCCTCCCCGGGGAGAACGAGAAAGAGCAGAGGAGGAGGAGGAGGAGGAGGAGGAGGAGGAGGAGCAGGAGCAGGAGCAGGAGCAGGAGAGGGAGGAGGAATTCAGGCGTGGCCTCCATCCTGCTGCCTGCTCCCCATCGCTAGGTCACCCAACTTCGCGCATCGCGCCCTGCGACGCGCGGCGCGAGGTTATCTTCACGCCCTCACTCCCTCGCGCCGCCCCCTAATACTCTGATATCGGCCGCGACGTGCGAGGCGCGAACATCTTCGCGCCCCCGCGGTGACCTAGCTGCTGCCTCCTCCCCCTTGTACCCCTTCTCCCCGTCCTGATTGCCACTCCTCCTCCTCCTCCTCCTCCTCCTCCTCCTCCTCCTCTCCGCCTCCTCCTCCTTCTCCTCAACAATTACTCAATATGAATACTACTCTCCCTCTTCCCCTGATGGCGTGCTGGGAGTGGCCGACCCCCCCGCGTACTGTTTTTTTACACACAGGATTCCCGGGAGTTGGGTTTTCGCCTGCGTTTTTTTCAAAATGCTGCTCTCGCTGAGGCGCCGGCCTCATTTCTGCTCCCGAATCGTTCCGAATCGTGCTCCCGCTGCAGCGTGGGCCTCATTTTCGGATCGGTGTTTGGCCTCCGTCGTTCAGGATGGCGTTCTCGCCCCAGCGCGGGCCTCTTTCTCGCGCGCCCATCCGCCCGCCACCACCGCGCCGCACCACCACCACCACCACCACCACCACCACCACCACCACCACCACCACCACCACCACCACCACACCACCAGCACCAGCACCAGCACCAGCACCAGCACCAGCACCAGCACCAGCACCAGCACCAGCACCAGCACCAGCACCACAACCACGCACACACGCACGCACGCACGCACGCGCACCACCACCCACTACGCACGCGCGCGCGCGGAGCCACAGGTCCGCTACGACACGCGTCCGCGGATAGAGAAAATCAGCGCCATGGTAAGGGATGGGAGGGAAGGGTAGGACGTCAGATATGACGCGAGCGCACCTAGCTTGTCTCCCATCCCCCTCCCCCTCCCCCTCCTCCTCCTCCTCCTCCTCCTCCTCCTCCTCCTCCTCCTCCTCCTCCTCCTCCTCCCACTCCTCCTCCTCCTCCTCCTCTTCCTCCTCCTCCTCCTCTCCTCACCCCCCTCGGGGAGAAGGAGAAAGAGTAGAGAAGGAAGAGGAAAAGGAGGAGGAGGAGGAGGAGGAGGGTAACGAGGAGAAATCTGACGGTGATGCTGATACTGATGCTGACGCTACTGATGACGACGATGACGACGACGATGCTGCTGCTGCTGCTGCTGCTGAGGAGGAGGAGGCGGCGGAGTGGCTAGAAGAAGGAAGAGACGGAGGGTGACGTGGAGCTGGAGGTGGGCAAGGGCAGCAAGAGGGTGACGAGGGAGGGGGGAGGAGAGATGAGGGACGAGGAGGAGACGGAGGATGAAGAGGATGCGCCGAAAGGGTGGCTCCTGGTCGCCAGCCTCCACGAACTCCTCGGGCGTCAGGGTGCCCTTCTCGACAAACCTGGCGCGGGTTCCCGCACCACCACGCGCGCGCGGGGCACACGGGAGGCGGCAAACTCTTGGACACCAGCTTCATGTCTACGGATGTCCGGGATCGAAGATCGAGGGCCGACTCCCTCCGCATCATCATGTGCCGTCCCACTCCTCCTCCTCCTCCTCACCATCACCACCTGAGCGACGAAACGAAAGGGGGTCTTGCGCGAAGTGACGTAGCGACACTGCGTGGTGGTTTACGCGGGCCGCTGGCGCGGCACGCTAGATTGGAAGCCAGGGCGCTTGCGCTCGACCTTACGCGGGCAGCTTACGCGTGAACGTCGGTGCAGACGACCCACGGTTTCTTCGTCGCTCATCTGACCTCCTCCTCCTCCCCCTCCTCCCCCTCCTCCTCCTATTAATCCTCCTCCTCATCCTCCACATCCTCCGCCTCTTCCTCCTCCTACTCCTCCTCATCCTCCTCCTCCTCCTCCTCCTCCTCCTCCTCATCATCATCACCACCATCACAACCACCACAATCATCGTCATCATCATCATCAGCAGCATCACCACCATCACCACCCCCACCACCACCATCATCATCATCATCATCATCATCATCATCAGCATCATCACCATCATCATCATCACCACCATCATCATCATCATCATCAGCATCATCAGCATCAGCATCATCATCATCAGCATCAGCATAAACATCACCATCACCATCACCATCCTCATCATCATCATCGTCATCATCATCATCATCATCATCATCATCGTCATCACCATCGTCATCGTCATCATCATCATCATGATCGTACTCATGATCATGATCATGATCATGATCATCCTCATCATCCTCATCATCAGCATCATCAGCATCATCATCAGCATCATCATCAGCATCATCATCATCAACATCATCAGCATCAACATTATCAACATCATCATCATCAGCATCAGCATCATCATCATCATCATCATCATCAGCATCAGCATCAGCATCAGCATCATCATCATCATCATCATCATAATCATCATCATCATCATCATCACCATCATCATCATCATCATCATCATCATCATCATCAGCATCAGCATCAGCATCAGCATCATCATCATCATCATCATCATCATCATCATCATCATCATCATCATCATCATCATCATCATCATCATCATCATCATCATCATCATATATTATTATCATCATCATCAGCAGCATCAGCATAAACATCAACATCACCATCATCCGTCCAGCCCCCCCTCCCTCCTCCTACCCTGGAGAGAGAGAGAGAGAGAGAGAAGAGAAGAGAAGAAAGCGAGCGAGAGAGAGAGAGAGAGAGAGACACAGACAGAAGAGAAGAGGGAGAGAGCGAGAGAGAGAGAGAGAGAGAGACGGCCGCCTGGACTCCCCGCCGATGTTGACAACGTTGCCGACCACCGATCTGTAGGCGTCGCCGATGCGGTGTCCGGCCAGGGAGAGGGCCTGCATGCCTCGCGCGGCGCGGTGGTGAGGAAGATGACGGCAGATGATGACAATGATGATGGTGATGATGGTGATGATGGTGATGATAATCATGACTATAATTATGATTCTGAGTATGGTGATGATGATGCTGATGCTGATGATGATACTGATGATGCTGGTGATGATGGTGGTGGTGATGAATGTGATGATGACGATGATGATGCTGCTGCTGATCATAATTATCATGATAACTATTCTGATTATCATGATGAGGGTGGTGCTGCTGCTGCTGATGATGTTGATGATGATGATGATGATGATGATGATGGTGGTGATGATGATGGGGATAATGATGACGATGATAATGATGACGACGATGAGGATGATGATGATCATGATGATGAGGGGGAGGAGGAGGGGCAGGAGGAGGGGAATAATGGTGGTGATGATAATGATGACGACAACGACGACGACGATGATGACGAGGAGGAGGATGCCTATGGGGCCCCTTCAGGGCCTATTTCCTCTAACTCTCGATCCCCCCTCCGTATAGCCCCCCATGACGCTACGACCGATTCTCTTCACTTATGTTGCTCCCATCCGACTGATGTTGCTCCCGACTACATCTCAAAAATCATTTCGAGCACCCAGAAAAATATCGAAACAATGTCGAACGAGTATCGCCTCCCAGGGCCCGACACGTGAAAACCCTCCAGTTTCGGCACTCTCTTGGAGCTCGAAATTCTTTTTGGTGATCGAGGCTAAAATAGGTTGAAACATCATAACTCGTCACCTCCTCGTCGGCGGCCCCGCTGTCGCCACCGTGGCCGTCACTCTCGTTCTCCCCGTCGCCGTCGTTCGCCGTCGTCGGCCTCATCACAGTTCGGCGCTGGCCGTTGTCGTCAGACCCAGACACCCGACGACGTGTTTGCTTGAACGCGCGGCCCCAGTTGGCGGCGCGCAGAGGAGGGTACAGTCGGCCCGAATCATAAGGATACGCGATAAGGAGGCAAGGGCCTTGGACGCCCATTTCCAAGCTTTTCGAGCGGGGCGCGGTCAAAGAAAGTGGCAAAGGCTGGACCGAGGAGGCAAGGATGCAAGTGTACCCTTGGGAAGGTTGCCAATCCTTACTACGCGGGTGGACTGTAGGGGGAGGGGGGAAGGCTTCCTGGGAGGCTGCTCCTTAGAAGGCGCCGGCCTTACAACTGCGGACCAGGCCCGCGCCTTCTAAGAAGCAGGGGTGCTTCTAAGAAGCCTTCCACCCCTGCCCCATCTCGAAATCCCCTAATAATCGTCCCCCAATCCAATTTTTTTCGGGCGTCTTTTTTGGGAGCGGGGGCGTCGGGTACATTTGGGCAGTTTCTGTAAACCGAAAACAAGGGGGGTCCGGAATAGTAAGGCCCCCCGTTGACAAGGGTCCGGAAAATTAGGTTGCCGTTGAAGGGGGGGTCCGGTTTTTTAGGGGGAGGTCGATGATTAAGGGATTTCGAATACCACCTCTTCGCGTGGCCGACCTGGGGCTGGTTCTCTTGAGCACGCGGCCCCAGAAAAGCCGGGGCCCGATGACGGGACCGAGGGCCCGAAGTCGAGGGTACAAACGCTGGGATCGGGAAAAAAAAACAGCACATAAGAACATCGTCGCCGTCAGAAAGGAGAAGATCGTCATGAGACGTTACACGTCGGTCGGAAGAAGCAGGTAAAAACATGAAGCAGGAAGGCGGATGAAGTAGATTGGGTTCAGGCCCTCCCAGAGAATAGCAAAAAACAGCAGAAGCACATCGACTCTCGAAGTAGGAAGGCGCTTGAAGCAGATTGGATTGGAATCTGGAAATCCCGAAATCCGTCACCGTGCTTCTGGGCACAGGAGTGGGCGTCTCCTCAGGTCGTGGGCCCGATCCTTTACACTCGACCAGGATAACAAGGATGCGCGGCAAAGATGCAAGGGCCTTGGAACGCCGTGTCGACGTTCGCCGCGCGGAGCGCGGCATAAATGCCGAAGGATGCCGAACACCGAAGGGGCAAGGATGCGAGGGTAGCCTTGGAAAGGTGCCCCATCCTTGCTATCATGGTTGGACCGCACGCCTCAGCCCCCGCTCCCGAGGAGTGGAGTCTTGTGTGAGGGTCATGGACCCCTCGCTCCCTCAGGTCTCCCCGGGGCTTTCCGCGTGCCCCCTCGGGTTCGGCGCGTGCCCTCCGGGCGTGGGCCCGATCCTTTCACGTAAGCCTCGGCCCCCCCCGCCCGAGGAGCCCTGTGAGGGGCCCGGGCCCCTCGCGCTCTCGAGCCTCTCCCCCCTCGGGGGCCTCCCGCGCGCGCCCCCACCGGGCTTGGCGCGTGCCCTCGGGTCGTGGGCCCGATCCTCGAAGCCTCGGGTCGGGCCTGTCCCCCCTACAGGAGGCTTTTGGGGCGACCGAACATAAAAGGTACCCCAGACTTACTCCCCGAACGCTCAAACAATAGTTAACAAGTCATCCCCTGACTTTTTTTTGGGGGGGGGACTATTCCCCACCTAGGCTCTGCCTAGAAGGGTTCTTACTCTCTTAGCTTAAAGGGGCCGGGCAGTGGAACACGCCCCGGGCGGTTCCCCCAGTCCCCTGGGAGCGGTTCCCCCCAGTCCCCTGGGAGCTTTAGCTTTAGCTTTAGCTTTAGCTTTAGCTTAGCTTTAGCTTAGCTGTAGCTTAGCTTTAGCTTAGCGTTTCGCTTAGCGTTTCGCTTAGCTTTTCGCTTAGGTTTAGCTTAGCTTTAGCTTAGCTTTAGCTTAGATTTAGCTTAGCTGTAGCTTAGCTGTAGCTTAGCTTTAGCTTAGCTTAGCTTTAGCTTAGCTTTAGCTTAGCTTTAGCTTAGCTTTAGCTTATATTTAGCTTAGCTGAAGCTTAGCTTAAGCTTAGCTGTTGATCAGCTTTAGCTTAGCTTTAGTTTAGCTTTAGCTTAGCTTTAGCTTAGCTGTGGCTTAGCTTTAGCTTAGCTTTAGCTCAGCGTTACTGTTACTACTAATGCTGCTTTCCTAGGGGGTCCAACTCCTAGGTAGGGTCGCACTGGGATATTATTTTGGTATTCCTCCTGTAGAGGGACGGGCCCGACTTCATGGAAGCCTCGGCCCCCCCCGCCCGAGGAGCCCTGTGAGGGGCCTGGGCCCCTCGCGCTCTCGAGCCTCTCCCTCCCCTCGGGGGCCTCCCGCGCGCGCCCCCTCGGGTCGTGGGCCCGATCCTCGAAGCCTCGGTCCCCCCTCCTGAGGAGTCTGTGTTTCCCTACCTGGGCTCTGCCTAGAGGGTTCTTACTCTCTCTCTTAAAGGGGCCGGGCAGTGCAACTCGCCCCGGGCGGTTCCCCCAGGCCCCTGGGGGCGGTTCTCCCAGTCCCCTGGGAGCTTTAGCTTTAGCTTCAGCGTTAGCGTTAGCTTTAGCTTTAGCTTAACTTTAGCTTAACTTCAGCTTAGCTTCAGCCTAGCTTCAGCCTAGCTTCAGCTTAGCTTCAGCTTAGCTTTAGCTTAGCTTCAGCTTAGCTTTAGCTTAAGTTCAGCTTAGTTTCAGCTTAGCTTCAGCTTAGTTTCAGCTTAGCTTTAGCTTAGCTGTTGCTCAGATTTAGCTTAGCTTTAGCTTAGCTTTAGCTTAGCTTTAGTTTAGCTTTACTGTTACTACTAATGCTGCTTTCCTAGGGGCTCCTACTCCTAGGTAGGGTCGCACTAGGATAATTTTGTTCTTTCCCCTGGTGGAGGAAACCTCTGGTCAGCAGAGGGCGCTGCTCCCGAACGACGCTGCGCTGGGAAAGCTGGACGGTGCTCTAGCATGGCTGCCGGCCGCCAGGCGGATCAAGAGATCCCGGGGAGGAGGAGGAGGAGCGAGAACAAGAGCGCGGGGAGGAGGAGGAGGAGGAGGAGGAGGAGGAGGAGGAGGAGGAGGGAGGAGGGAGGAGGGAGGAGGGAAGGGAAGGAGGAGGAGGAGGAGGAGGAGGAGGAGGGAGATGAGAGGGAGGAGGAGAGGAGGAGGAGGAGGAGGGAGGAGGGAGGAGGGGGGAGAGGGGAGAGGGTGGAGGAGGAGGCGGAGGGAGGATGGGACGAGGAGGAGGAGGAGGAGGAGGAGGAGGAGGAGGAGCGAGAGCAAGAGGCGGGCAAGGAGCCCTGTGAGGGGCCTGGGCCCCTCGCGCTCTCGAGCCTCTCCCCCCTCGGGGGCTTCCCGCGCGCCCCCACTGCGGCTGGGCGCGTGCCTCCCAGGGGCTCCAGGAGCTGCCCTCGCAGGGCTGTCGGGGAGCCCAGGCACACACAAAGAAGCACACACACACACACACACACGCACACACACACACACACACACAAACACACACACACACACACACACACACACACACACACACACACACACACACACACACACACACACACACACACACACACACACACACACACACACACGCGCACACACGACGGGATTCCCCATATTTTCCCATCTGTTCTGGGCTTTTGTCTTCCCCCCACTTCCCATATTTTCCCGTGCTTTCCTGGAAGTCGGCGATTGGTTGTGTCTGTGTGGTTCTTTCCCTCCTGAGTCTTCTCCAAGGCCAAGAAAGCACGAAGACGGGCCAGGAGGGCCCCAGGCGGCCGCCAGGACGGCCCAAAAAGGCCCCGAGACGCCCAAAAAGATCGGCCCAAGACGCCCAAGATGGGCCTCACAACGGCCGAAGAGGCCTCCAAGACGCCCCGAATGGCCTTGAAGAGGC